CCGTTTGCGTTGACTCAACAAAAAGTTTTTCATTTACACATCAAGGGAAATTCAGTGCAAATACCACACAACGTATGCATACAGTTCGTATCAAAAGTACACGACAGGTGTGACCAAATTGGATTTTAATTATTTGAGTAGCTAAATGCATCCAACTCAAGCTCATTGACTCTGCTTTGACTCGCATGGCAGTTGACTCATTTGACTCGCATTACGGTTGTGAAACGCACTGCACTGTACATGATGTATTTAGAACATGTCAATCAAAAGTTTCCAACTGTGACTATCATTGTAGGGAACGACGGGGCACTGGGACAGGGCACGGCAGGATGAAACAGGACAGTAGCCTGCACAGAAGTCGTTGTCATTGTCATTTCTCTGTTTGTTTGTCATACGTTTGCCCATTCCATTCCATTACATTCTTTTCCCTGCTCCGGAAAATTCCCAATGCCAATTAAATGCGGCTTTCACATTGTCATTCGCAAAGGACTTGGCATATGACAATGGCCCGGCAACGGTAATGAGGAGGAGGCAGGGACACCCCCTGGACGGATCTGTTACGTTCGGTTTTGACGTCGGATCGTCTCAGCGGGCGCTCTCGCATGTCCTGCCAAAGTAAATTAATTGCTAGAGCGACCCTCGACCCTCGACCCGGCCAAGTCAGTCCCATTTTGCTACACGTGCAACTTATGTGCAAATTAACATTATCATCAACGGGAACTGCGACTGCCAGGGGTTGCTCTGTGGCGTGTTCCTGTTCCAGTTTCCGGTTAACCCTGCCCCCGCCCACGGAAAACACTTGCAGTCCGTCTTGCGTAGATTAATCGGACTGATTAACCACACGCAGCTCCAGCTCCCTGGTAGAAGCCCTAAGGAGGGAGCTGCTGCCGTCCTGCCTATTCATTATGCAATTATTTCGAATGACTCTCGTAAGTGATACTCGTATTTCCTGGGCATTTGATGGGTTTATTTCATGCCGCCTGCGAAGCGACATGGAAATGCATTCATCACGTCAGGCGGGTAACCATTTAGAATGAATGCAAGGAGGTTGGGGTGGTCAATGCTGAATAAGTCAATCTTCTGTATCCCATTGAGATGGATGGTGCGGTTAATGAATTAGTTGAGGAAAAATTTCTGGTTTTTAGTTTATGCCAAAGAAATATCTAAAAATCATCCCCCAAAAACCTAAGACTAAAAACAAAAACAATAATAAATAAACAACCAACGCATAGCAACACAAAAATACTTAAAACCCATTGAATAATTTCCAAAATACGATAACAGAGGCCTTAAGTAACTGCACAAATATTCTTGGAATTCCCCTATATCATCGCCCAGCATTATTTACAGCCAAAACAATTAAGCCTTAAAAATGCTTCACATATTTCAGGGCGTCGCGTCGGCATGAATTAAAACAGAATTCTCATGGCGCAATACACAAGAAAAAAAGCGTAAAAAAAACCACAGAGCCACAAAGCAACTCATTCAGGCCAGGCAATTCCCGGAGAGAGTATCGCCCACCCCAAAAGGGCCATTGGGGCTTGGAGGCAGGCCAAGAAGTCACGGTCCGCGCAATCCCTTTGGGGCTTGGCCGAGGCTTTCTGCTGTTTCCGAATGTATTAATTGATGCAAATAAAAGACAGATTTATTGTACGTGTTCGAGTGGATGGAAACGAGGGTAGAAACAAATGTTATGCCTCCGAATTGGGAGGGCCACTGGAGTAACGGAGACACTAAAATGTAATTGGACTGATCTCCGAGCTGCTTCTGATTGAAATATCTTGTCTGAGGTGGATATAATTGGTTAGCTAATAGCTATTAGCAGAAGCTCCGAAGTGGGTCCCATGGCATATCTTTTCCACTGCATATCAACTAATTATGGTCCTGTGCTCTGTAGTACTTTGTCTTTTATTTCATACATTCTTTACTACATAAGTTATGTAATAAATGGCAGTGGCTCAGTGTAACAATAAACAGCAGCAATTAGGCAAAAAGGAAAGCAAGGAGGGGAAACAAAAAAGAAAGAGAGAGAGATATAAAATAAAGCCAACTAAATGAATTCTTGGGAATGTGCATAAAAAATTATTTGCTCGCACGCATCAACGCAATGAAGACCCCCTATCAAACAGATAATTCTACATAAATACAGTGAGTGTCATAACGTTAAGATAACGTTAATATGAGTGCAGATCGAAATATGTAAAAAATACAAAACAATCAAAAAATTATGTAAATCTTCAGTAGACTGCTGTTTACGAGTGGAACAATTGAAAGCTTTCAAAGTGTTTTCAGTCCTTAGAGATCCGAAACGCACTGTATGTGTACTTGTCTATATATCTGCATAGTCAGTCGCTGCTGTTTTCAGGCTATTTGGCAATGAACCAACAATACGTAGAGGTGCGAAAAGTCTGTGATCACTCGGTGGCGGGACCCAGTCGAACTCTGCCCGAGCGTCATCTCATCGTGTGCCCTTTGGTGGCGCCTGCTGCAAAAGATCTCGCCCCCTGTCTACGTCTTGACCCACTCCAAGTTCCCAGAACGAGTGCTCGAAAATAATTAGGAGCAGCGATCGAATTTTTATTCTGTGTGTGTTTCCCTGCACCTTCCACCCCATCTGATCTGCTGCGTCGTTGCTTCCTATAGCAATAATATCTTATTGTTCTAGAGCACAATTCAGTTCGTCTGCATGTTTATTTGTCTTTAGCTTTTTGTGTTATTTTTCGGCAACGATATTTCTTCTTCTTGTGCAGGGTAAACTTGGGGTTGAGTATATTGAGTCCTAGAAATTATCAAATTAAATTATTAAACGAATAATTGAATGTACGATTGTGATTATCGATATAAGATATAAAATATTCCAGGCAGATTCAACTGAAAATAAATTAGATATAGTAATTGTAATATTATCTGGAGTAATGAGTAAATTTGTTCTCTAGACAATCGTCTAAAAAATATTCAGACTTGATTATTTTTGGCGTTGATTATTTTCCGCTTAAGTTTTTTTTTTTTGGATTTCGTTGTTGGTTGAGTTTATTTTTAGTGGGAAAAACATAGCGGATGCTCATTGTTGTTGTAACTTGTAATTGGCCATGGAGGGTAATAGAAAAATATGTATTTTCCTCTTGATTTTATGAAGCAAAGAAAAATTCGTACATAATTTGATTCAATCAAATGAATGCGTTTATAATCACTCTTAATAAGGTTACATATTTCATACATACATATATGTATGCATATGTATTATGATTTAATTAAACGCAACATTTTTGATGCTCTTAATGGCTAATGGGTTTTTTAATTAACGTGTTCAAAAAGTGATACATTTTGGTTTTGAATGGTAATTATTATGTTGTTGCCTGGAAAAGCAGAAATATTTATATATTATTGAATCACATTTCAATACTCCTTGTTCACAACAACAGAGACAGAGGTTCCTTTGAAGTGTTTGCTATTTCCTTAACAATTTAGTTTACCTAAATCATAATTCCCATCTCCAACTTTACTATCAAATTAATTCCCTTGCAAACTCTTGCAGAAAAGTTGAGTCAATTCCAACAGGATAATCTTCAAGTTTAAATTCGAGCAATGGATCATCAAAAGTGAATCTGCTTCGAGGTCATCCTGGTAACAGTTTCTCCTCTTTTATCTTCAGCTCATCTTCAAATTACAAATATTAACTTGATTGAGTTTGTTCGTGGCCACGCACCGTTGGCCACGCCCCCAGTGTGTCAAACACGCTAATTTACTGTTACATTATTTAAACACACACAAACACACACACACGCCCATACAAACACACGAACACACTTACAATCCACACACCCATGTAGAGGCGATAAAACTGAAAGGTTGTCACTTTGGGTAGCGTTAGGCGGTCGCTCTTGTTGGTTGGGATAGGCAATGGATTGGCTATAGGCGTTGGCACGGGGAGCACACTGGCAGGGGGAGGGGAGGCCCAAACGAAAAACAACAAAGAAAACGGTATAGCAGGGCGCATGAGCAATATTCGCTGGCAACATTTGGCCAGCAGCATGTTGCCAAGGTATGAAATGATTTAAATTTTGTGTAAAGAAATGTGTGATAATTAACGAGAAAATATATAAAAATTGCAATTTTGAATTATCAATTAAGTAGTAAATGTATGGCTCTTTTTTCTCGTTAGCTTTATTAATAATTTTTTATATAAAACACATCGAATGTTGCTCCAATGCCAATGCGATCCACAAAAGTTTCCCGCCAATTGCAGGCCAAAGCCGAAGTGTATACAAACAAACGCACACAGACACGCACAGACATGTTCGTTCTCTAACAACCCCAAAAAGCCGCAAAGCAAACAGAACGGGAGCTGGGGCTGGAGTTGGAGATGGGGCAATGCCCATTCGTCTGACGCTTAGTCGCTTTTCGTACGGTACTGGCGAAAGCGTAAAATCTGCCAAAGCTCAACCAAAAGCCGGCTGTTCTGGCACTTCCTCCCCTTCCCCCATCCCACCACCTTACCCACACAATGCACACAACCGTTATTTACATTTTGTTTTGCCGGCTTTTGGCAGCACGACGAGCGAGCAGCAGCCGAGTGAACCCGAGCGACTGGCCTGCCTGCCTGGCCTTTACACTGCATTCGCGTGTAGCCTTCGTTTCAGTTGGCAACGGCCCACACGCTGTAACGGACGTATTTTCGCTGCTCGGACAAACAAACAGAAATCCATCTGAAAGAACTGTTTTTGAAGAACGATTTGTGTGACGTTTTGAGTTTTGAGAATAATATTTGGAATTTTGAGTGCTTGTGCCCCCGTGCTAGCAGTCTGCCAGTGGCCACTACCCGTGCCCAGTGCCATGAGTGTGTTATTTTGAGTTATCGCGATTGCGGCTAAGTGCAATTAGTGCCACAAAATTTAGTGCAATGAATTGGGAAATTGTGTGCTCTAGCCAGGCGCATCATTAGCAAATGAATTATATCAGAAGCCTCAACAAATTCGATTGAAATTCACTTGTGTGTGTGTTTGTGAGAGTGAGAGTTACCAACTGTTTGGGCTCCAATCCAAGGTAATACTCTAACGTCAGACCCTATAAATATTCCTCTCCCCCCAACAAAATTTGTCACAGAAAAAACCAAAACCAAATCCATTGCGCATGTTAATTAAGACAAGACATTGAAGAACAAAAAAAAAAAAAGTAGGAAAAACCAAGAGCCAAATGGAAATGCTGAATGGGAGTGGTGCGGCAGGGGCCATTGGCAATCCATCCATCACTCAATTGCCTGTTCAGAAAAACAGATTTCAGTGTGTGTTCCGTTCCCCAACCCCATCCAGCCCCTGAAGAACTCTACTCCCCATTCTTGCCATGCTTTATAGTTGTTTTTTATGCGGACAAAACAAATGTGCATTATTTTTAATTTGAAAATTGAGAGCAGAACAACAATACAGCAGCAACGAGTGCACATGTGTTTCATGATTTTTTAATCTCTCTTTTGTCGGGGCCAAATAATTAGTTTTCTGCTATAGCGATAAATATTTATCCAAGTGGACGCGCACTTCACCAAACAGATGGCCCAGTCGATCCGATCCGATCCGATCACGATCACGATACGATCTGGTACTTCCTCAAATCATTTCAGACTTCCTCTTGGCTTGGGGGGCTGGCAGCTCTGTTTTCCCCCCCCCAATAAATTTTTCTATTTATCTTGATGCAATTTGTCCAGCCACGCCTTCTCAATTAACAAGTGAAACAACTGAAACAACAGAAAATGGGCGCAAAGTCATTTCCCGTGGGTTCATTCGATGGGATGAAGTCGTCCCTTGTTTTGATGTTATCAGCTGAGAGACGACGAGTCTTGCCTCGTTTTGTTTTGTTTCTTTTGCATGTTGCATGTTTGGGCTAACAAAATAATTGACAAAACAAATCATTTACGTGGCGAAAGTTTTGCAGCCCTTTCCGTCCACACCCCTTGCATCCATCAGCGGTTAAATTGCACACGATGGCAAGACACGCAACATGTTTGATGACATAAAAAACCAAACGAAAATACAAAAAATAAAATTGTGCAACATTCTGTGAGGGTAGGGAGGGAGGCAGGGCGAATTTCGCGCTGAAATATAAATAACAGCATAATAACGAGGCAGCCAGGCAGGCCGTCCGAGTGGAGAGATAAATGAGAAAAGGAGGAAAAGAACGGAATAAAACAGAACAAAACCAAACCAAACAAAACAGAGCAGAAGGCAGAAGCAGCAGAAGGAGAAGACGAAAGGGGTGAGAAGAACAATGGATATTTCTAGGGACAGATCAGATCTGCCAGCTTGTTAATTACAGAAAGAGAAAGATACTTATTTTCGTTGTGACAACAGAGAGAGAGAGAAACGCAGATGATGCTCCCTCCACATACTATTTATGATCACACAGAATGGAAATTCGCGCAACATCTTCTTGATCCGAATAGAGATCTCCCTAGAATATTATCACTAAGTTTGCTGCCTGAATAATACAAACAAATGACAATTTTATATTGATCTAAATTCGAAATTAATTATATTTAAAGCTAACAATATGATCAGGGTGCATGAAAACCGATTTACAATCAATGAATAATTAATTAAAGAATTCATTCCTGACTTCCAATCCAAAAATAATGTGATAGAAGTACTTGGTACCTACAAAAATCCCAAATGAGGTGCAAAAACAAACCAAAAATCGTTTACGGTAATCGAAACAAATGCAAACGGACCTTTAACCGCAAGTTAAATCATATTATGGGCCGACAGACCACAAAATGTTTGGCTCCTGTGGGCGAAACGTGGTAGCCGCAAATAGTGAGAGAGAGTGAGAGAGAAGGGGCGGCAGGAGCCTTGTGTGTTTCGCTTGCGGCTCACAGTCGATTGCCTGATTTACGAACCCGCAGACGGAAAGGTTCATTGCGATAGTCAACATGTTAACATGTTGTTAAACACACGGCGGCACAGGGAGCGGTCCTCCTCCACTCGTATGGAGAGGCAGTGAAATTTTTACGGCCTGTTTTTGGTTAGAAATCCCCACATTTATGGCTATTTGTATTATTTTTTTTCGGTTATTGCCGCGTCGCGTTGTTAGTGCCGATGAATATAGTTGGGGAGTCTTCGCGTCGCCTCCTACTTCCATTGGCAGGGGAAATGGCAAACAGTAAATGCTTTCGCCTGCTGTCGTATGCCGTTTATTAAAAGCGTATTTCCGCCTTATTGAACGCCTCACAGGGTTCAATGGATAAAATTATTATACTGTTATTTATTCCCACTCCCCACCACCCTTGAGTGGCCAGTCATCAACTAAATCGAATAGGATTTGTATATCCATCATTAGGAGGCATCGTAAAACCTTCATTTGAGTTGGATATATCGAAGGATCGTTTACTTTATAGCAATTTACATCAAAACAAACTATCACAAACAGGAAACGGCTTATCCTTGGCTGGAGCATATGTGCCCCGATTAGAGTTTTGCAGGTGACGATTGCCCAGATAAATAGACAAGCTACATTCGAGCATAAATGTACATATAGTAGTGGCCATGTTTATGGCTCTGATGTGTGTATCGTTTATGCGTGTGAGGAAACTTTATGGCCTTTTAATTGCTTTCGGTAACTTTTGTGTTGCCTCCACAGGTCACACAGCAATCACAAAACTGATTCATCTTTGGCCTCTCTCAATGCTGTTTATTTATGTGCGTCTAATTTATGCGAGTAATTCCACGTGAATGAGCTCTGTTCTGTTCTGTTCTGTTCTGCAGCTCTTCACAGCTCTCTTTCAGAATTGTAATAATGTTATAAAAATTTCAACAACTTTGTCGTCGTCGCGCCCCGCCCGATAATGTGGAAAACTTCGACGGGAAACTATTTTGAATATATGCATAAAAGAGCTGAAACAGATCATATGGCTACAGACGCAAGAGGCGGCTCACCTTCACCTCATTGCACCTTTGCAAACCCACCCCCTCTGCTTCCTTCACACACCGCATTGCACCTCTCCTCGCCCCCCCTTTCTTGACTCACCGAACCATCAAAGGCCCCCGTACGTCGCGTATTAACTTTTCATCTAAAACTATAGAAATCTTTTCTGCAGTCAAAATAAAATTCTGAGGGGAAATTCCAGGCATATTAAAGCCATCTGCCACTGGGCCTGCCTCTGCCTCTGCCCTCTGTAGCTGTATCTGTATCTGTGTATAGCTGCATGTGCAACTGAAATGGCAACTGCAATCTGCAGGTGCTGAGATGCCTGCTAATTTATGAGCTGTGCATTGTGTGGGTTAATGTAACAGCCAATTGCGGTTTGAGTTGAACAAGATGGCCCCACACACCAACCACAGCCACAGGCCCCAGCAAGGTCGTTTCGCAGAGGAGCAGTACCAAAGGGGGTGAGGGCATTCGCATGCCCCATTTGGCAGCAATGAGGAACTCAACCAGAAGGAACTGAAAGCAAAAAGAGTTCAATTAGAGCTTAGGGAGCACGAACCCCGGAAGCCCGGAATGAGAGAATAGGGTCGATAATCCCACTGCTCTGGCTTCCCTCTGGCTGCCACCTGATTAGCATTTCTTTGTGGGACAGCTAGCTGTCGTGTCGGGCGGGTAGAAAGTACGATTATTTATTTAAATCGAACTAAAACAATTTCGGAATGTAGTTTAAACTAACAGCTGAATCGGCAGAGCTTATTCTGTGCCTTTATTTAATTCCCATGATTCCCATGCAATGGCAAACGTTGCACCATTTGGAAAGTTCAGGGAAGTTCATTTAAATTGAAATGAACTAAAAGAATAGTTTAAGCTTCAGCCTTCAGCCCTCAAATGCCAGAGAATTTGGTCGTAAATCCGTGAAAATCATTTGCCAATGAATGAATCCCAATGAATATTCATATGGCCAGGGGCAAGGGTCAAGCTCTTGAGTGTTTCCCCCACACTAGCCACAACAAGTCGCAGAAATATTACGCATACGCCATGGGGGAAGAGGCTCATAAATATATGTTTGGCATAGAGCGGCAGTTTTTTTCTCATCTGATCGATGCCTTCCTGCCAGGAAGTCGCTTTGGCCAATGGCGTGAAATTCACTTTCATTCGATTTGTATTTTTATTTGGCTTTTGTTGCTTGTGCTTCTGTTGTTGCTATGCCATGCACCTTTGCAGGTGGATGGTTTTATTGATTCCGGCTTGAAAGACACCGGAGAGACGGAGGCAAAGCTATTGGCAGACCCAGAGTCACGGTAAATGCCAAATAATTAGCAATGAGGCAATGGTCGTAATCTTGGGCCATAAATCGAGCGTCTGACATTTCATGTCAAGGCTCGTCGGCAAATCGATTGATAAATTAATCAGAATTAGTCCTTGAAAGTACATAATAAATATTTATAGGATCTGTATGAGCCCTGTCCCCCCCCAGAAGCAAACCGAAGCGAAACGAATCGAAAAACAATCGACAGGCAGGCAGTCGAGGAGTGCCATGGCATGTCGTCTCTGGTGGAAATTTTTACAATTTCCACTGCAATTTAAACGTCTATCAACAGGGGATGATGAGGGGAGCAATGGTAGCACAGGACTCAGTGCAGCTAACAGAGTCCTTAAAGCTTAGATTAAACTGTACATGGGATATACAATATCTACTCAAATATATACTCGTATATCTGTAGTATAAATCTGTTCCATCTGCGTCTGTAGCCAGCAGACAATGAAGCCACTTAAGCCCGCCGCCTGGGTGCCTCTGGAAACTCTGGCCCTGGCATTGGGAGTGTCTGACAAATGAAGACTGACATTTAGCAAACAGTTGAGCTGAGAGTCGAGTTGGGCGCTGGAAAAAGAAAAGCGAACAAAAACAGAAAAACCAAATTATTCCGCTTACAACTCAGTTGTCGCAACTGTTTGGTTTTTTAGTCGCAAGCAACTTGTTGTCATTAGGCTGCCTGCCAGCAGATTTTCCATCTCTGTGGAACGTGAAAGATTTAAAATAAAACCACTTAGCCGCGCGAGGCTCCATTTGCGACAATTGTTTAAGCCTCGCGAGCTCTGATAAAGTGTCCTCTGAGGGTTCTTCAGTT